ACACCGGTTGTCAGTCTCTGCTGATATCTGCCAGTGCAAAGACAAAATAATGACTTTAGCTAACTTTAGATCTCAGCTGGAAGAAACCTCCAGCAGAACCAGGCTCAGGGAGGGGCGGGGCCATCTGCTGCAACCGGTTGGGGAGAGAGAAGGAAGACAGGATAAAGACATGCTGTGGAAGAGAGACAGAGATTAATAACAAGTATGATTCAGTGCAGAGAGGTCTGTTAACACATAGTGAGTGAGAAAGGTGACTGAAGAAGAAATACTCAATGCATCATGGGAATGCATCATATGAGTCCGTTTTTATGACTGTAGCGGGACAAGACCATCTTGAGACTGCTTTCAGTGTTGAACCTCTTCAGAGAGAGACCAGTAAAAACAGGTGCCTGGGTGGTCCCCTGTGAGTGTTGGCGCTACTAAAAATATACCTCATGCATCATTTTTAAAGCTTTGTTGATGCTGTGGGGTTGTTTTTCAGGAGTTGGGCTTGCCCCTTTAGTTAAAATGAAAGGACCTCTTAATGCATCAGCATACCAAGACATTTTGGACAATTTCATGCTTTCATGCTCCCAACTCTGTTCCAACATGCACAAAACAAGGTCCATTAAGATGTGGATTAGGAATGGGATGTCGCTCATGTTACTATCCGTGTGAAGGCAAATGTGCAAATACCTTTTGCTAGAATAAAAATCAGGCTTGTTTGGTGATATTAAGGTAGTTCTAGACCAGCCTGATCCTATGATAAGGCTGCCCTTGTTGTTTAAAGCGCTATATAAGAACCAGTCCATTTTCCCATTCGTCTGAAAGGTCCTGATAAAACCTTTTTACCTTTTTCTCTCATCATCTTGGCTTGTATGTGGGTGCAGACGTGGTCTTGTAGTGGAATTCTCTTATTAAAACTTGAGTATGCAGATTAACTGCAAAGTTTTCACCCTGAGGCCAGTGGGATACTTTCTGTTCCCGTGCAGCATCATCATCCTTTCAACCTCCTCGGTGGAATTGTTCATAATGTGTCTCTCCCATCTCTACAAGTCTCAGGCACATGTTATGGATATGAACCCGAAATATGCATTATATTGCACATTAGGTGCAGCATTTCTGGCCGATTGGTGGGTAAATCTGTTACTGAATTTACTTATAGCTGATGGCAGTTCATCATCTACCCTTTTTTTGCTTTTAGAGGCGGAACTCAGCGGCTCGCATGGTCATGTTAGAGGCCTGTTATGACTACAGCGTAAAGAGTTCTTATCTTTGTTATTCTAGCAGCTCTGCTCTGACACCGCTAACCATCATTATCTGCGGATGCAGTCCAGCCCAGACGTCAGTGTGTAGCCCAGTTGGCAGCTTGTGCTGTTAGCTTTTTCCACTTCCCATTTTTAGTCCCTTCTTTCTCACGTGCTTGGAAAGAGTCTCTCTTTCCTTTCAGCTGATGCTTCAGTCAAAGGTGAAAAACCATTTTAGAATGCAGTAACAGGTGATATCCATCTACAAGTGTATGTTAAGCTAAAGAGAAGTGGCTCAAACAGAGGGGAAAACCATCCATCTGTCAATCCATCCTTTTTCTCCTTGACTAAATGATGTGAATAGGGATGGCTTCAGAAGGCAAGTACCATCCAATGTTTACTAGAAATGGAATGCATCTTATTGACCGCTCACTGCAAGACACCCTTTAACCATTTTCCAACATCCACGGCCAGCTTACAATCAGTCTTTGGACTGTGGGAAGAATCTGGAGGGCAAGGTTGTGTTTTTTTAATGACCTTTGACCTTTGTATTTTAAATTGTTCTTCTGCTGCAACAAATGTGTGTTTAGAGTTTCAGGCCAGAAACTGTAGTAATAGATTCAGAGTGTGTGATGTACAGAAGTTGTAAAAGATCTTTCCATCAAATGATGAATAATATTGTCCTATCATGTGCTGTTCACATGATGGTGATTCTGGAGCGTATAAAAGTTTGTTTTTATTACACTATTATATTGTTACGGTGATTATTTAAAAAAAAAAATGGCGTGTCTGTCTGTCAGAAGCCCCTCAGGGGTTCCTGCTCCTGCGAGCGATGAACTGAAATAGGACACTGGAATGTCCTTTATAACAGCTGACAGGATTTTTGGTCCACCGAAGATCAAGATGTGATTGATGATGAAATAAGGGAATTGAGATGGACCAGTTGTCTGAAATCCTCTTTTGGTTTCCTCTCTATTTTCACAGGATGACAACTGGGGTGAGACCACCACAGCCATCACGGGCACCTCGGAGCACAGCCTCTCTCAGGAGGACATCGTTCGCATCACAAAGGATCTGGAGGACAGTGTGGGGCTCGACTGCCGCCGTTACTTCACCCGGACCCTGGCAATAATCTTAGGCCTGCTGGTGTTTCTCACTCCACTGGCCTTTCTGGTGCTACCGCATATCCTCTGGCCAGACAAGCTGCAGAGCTGTGGGACGGCCTGCGAGGGCCTCTTCATCTCTGTGGCCTTCAAACTGCTCATACTGCTGCTGGCTGTCTGGGCGCTCTTCTTCAGGCCAGCGCGGGCAGGACTCCCAAGGGTCTATGTATTCCGGGCACTACTTGCTGTACTGGTTCTGCTCTTTGTGATCTCCTATTGGCTCTTTTATGGAGTCAGGATACTCGACTCACAGGTGAGCTAAGAGAGGGGAAAACTGTACGTGTGAATGAAAATTCATTGAGTACTACACACACATACGCACAGAAACAAAGGTTTCAGTAGCATGAGTACTGCAGTCACATTCATTTTTAATGCCATCAGAAGCTCAACAAAGCCACAAACAGCTAAAACACAGATATTTGATTTCCCAGTGCTGTGTGTTTACTCTGTGAGCCGTAATTTAAAATCCTTGTAAGTCCCTGATTGAGAATCCCTGTAGGAATACACACTTTCAAAGGACGGTGTTTTAGCCGTCCTTTGAAACGCTGCTAAATATTTATATGCTCTACATCTAGTCTCACATGTGTTTATGCCTGGAAGACTATTTTAGGCATAATCTGTGCTTGGAACTGTGTTGGGACATATTTACTATGCAGTTATTTTATTAGATTTACTTTACATATTTTGAGTAAATCGGTCACAAACGATTCCCAAAAATCCTAACTGTTGATAGGACGAGAACTACCAGGGTATCGTGCAGTACGCCGTGTCGCTTGTGGACGCTCTCCTCTTCATCCACTACCTGGCCATCGTCCTGCTGGAACTGCGGCAGCTTCAGCCGTGCTACTCCGTGTGCGTCACACGCTCCACAGATGGCGAGACAAGGCACTACAACCTGGGACAGCTCAGGTAAGGAGCACAGAGTGACTCCATTAAATGTAGACATTCTCTTCTTTTAGCATCGTCTTTGAATAAATTTGTGTTTTTCATGGCGTTAGTCCGAGGGTAAAGCATTAACAGTGTGAGCAAGACGGAGTGTTTGAGGTAGGTTTTTGAGGGAGTTCTTTCCAATAAAATGCACACATTGACATATTTGGCAGCCAGGCTTGCCTCTAGTGGCCATCAATGGAACTGCAGTTTTGCAGTTCCATTTGCCTTTTGGTTTCATTTTTCTGGCCTACTTGTTCTCAGAGGGTTAAAATGAGATGTGACACTCTTTGCTATCGTAGCTTCCATGTCAATCGGACTGGAAAGAAAAGCATATTTACATCCAAATGTGGCTCAGCGAGCTTTCAAATACTTTGCTGTTGCTGATGAGAACTAAAAAGTCAACAACTTTATAAGACTTAGTGACACTGTGTTAGCAACCAGGAGAGAGAGGAAGAGATCAAGGGGAGATGAATTTAGGGAAAACAAAAGACGTCCGTGTGGGCGAGATGAAGGCAGAGGAAAGGACAGAAACTGGGGCACCTCAAGTTAGAGAGGTGGGAAAATAAGAGGCTAATAGCTGCTTACTTGCACAGAGATGGGAGTAAGAAATTCATGTAGGAAAGTCAAGAAAGAGAAGAAGATGAATATTAAGGAGTCATTAACACATAGATAGTAGAAATGATTATTATAAGGTAGAGCTGAAGAAAATGTAGAATGTATGAAAAAGGCACAAAGACAAAGTGCCTGATGTGGAGAGAAAACCATGCCAGAAGGAAAGAAAGGAGAGGGTGGGGAAGACTTCAGAGAGGAAACTCCTCAGAAAAGAGCTGCAGACACAGGGCGGAGTACATAGGAAAGCCCGGGAGACTGGAACAAGGAAAAATCTAAAGGAGGGACCAAAAAGGAGAACAGAGAACAAGGAAGTAATAGTTAATGGAAAGGGGTAAAGAAAGAAAGAAGGTGTGTGTGTGTGTGTGTGTGTGTGTGTGTGTGTGTGTGTGTGTGTGTGTG